TCCAGCATAGCACCCAGTAGCCTTGTGTGCTATTAAAATTAAAATTTTTTAAAATTAAATGAAATTAAAAATTCAGATATTCACACACACTAGCCTCATTTCAAGTGATCAACAGCTACATGTGGCTAGTAGCTACTGTATAGAACATTTCCATCATTGCAGAAAGTTCTGCTGGACAGTGGTTGCTTTAGATTGTCAGTAAGCATTTATTAAGTCCCTGACCCTTGTGTATAAAACCTAAAACTTGATGCTGGGAGCATTACATAGAAGAGTATCTAGATATTGAAAGCTACCTCCTCTTATAGATGTAGAAGTAAAATGTTTCTGGAGCCCTTTCTCGTCTGTACAGAAAATTTGTCCCCAAATTACTAGCAGGTTTGTTCAAAGATTTATGTATAGTTTGGATATTTAATACAGTAATTCCTAGATCAGTCCACAAAAGTCCATTTGGCCCACATGATATTTGAGTTACCTTACTGATAATGAGGAGACAGGTTAGTGGTAGAGTTACACTTCCTGGGTTTAATTCTCGGCTCTATCAATTACTTTTTCGGCATTTTGGGGCAAGTTATATAACTTCTTTGATCTCCACTTTCCTCATCTGTAAATTGGAGGTAATGATGGTACAAAACTTAAATGAATAAAGTGCTTAAAGTACTTAAACTTAAAGTGCTGGCATATATATATTACCATCATTTGTAACGTTGTTTTTGAAGAGAAAAGGTAAAAACTCTGGAGGCATATCCGGGGTAAACAAACTATCAGTGAGCTTTAATTCCAATTCTATAATCCTTTAACTTGATAAATCAGCCCTTGCAGGGTGTTCTGGGCTAGAAGCCATACATCAGCTTCCTCCAGAGCCTCCTCTCCTGCTGTCAGTCTGTGTGTTTGTTTGGTTTCTCCTTCCTTTCCTACTTTTATACTGGCCTAGATGCTGTGTATCTTCTCCCTCCTCTTCTTACTTGAGGTTTGAACTTCCACACTTTATGTCTCCCACACTCACCCCCCAAGCAACTCTTGATGGTGATTCCCATCTTCTGCTTTTTTTGTCTCCTTTGGGCCAATCTTTGCACAGGCCAGCCCAGCTATTTGGTATAACTGAAAAACACCTCTGTTGCTGTTGGTTTTATCTTTCTATGCCAGAGCCTTCCTGAGGCCTTCGAGGAAGGGTGTGAAGGATAATGGTTTGGCAAAGGGTCTTTTGGGCCAGGCAGACAAGAGTCTTCTGGTGGCCTTAGCAAGGGAATGGATTTTATCTCTGGTAGGGAGAAAGAGGGTAGGGCTGGGCCCAAGAGGGCCACTGAGGGGATTAGACTTAGGTAAAAGAAGGTAGAAGTGGCAAGTGGGGCTTCAAGGTGGGCCAGGGTAGCCAGTGTCTGGTATGGGTCACTGTGAGTCAGGAGTGTCAGTACTGTCCTTATACTCCAGTTTGCAGGGCTGTCCCTTGGTCAATGTGAAGAAAGTGCAGGGCTTTCTTCCCTAGTCTTCTGTGGTTATTCTAACTTTTCCTCTGTCTCCTCATGCCATCCTCTCACTGCCACCTCTGTCTACTCTCTGAGTGTCTTGTCAACTCAACTGCCATCCCTTTTGTTTTTACTCTGTTTTCTCCTCCCCCTTTCTAATTTCCACTTTTCTCTTCTTCAGCTTTGGCCTAGTGGGCTTAGCTTTTATGACTATGTTTAGCCAATGAGAATGTTGACAAGCTTACCAGTTGCGGTGTCTCTCACTATGCCTTCGTCAATATTACAAGGGTATCCTCCCAAAGTCACTCTTCAGAGGTTGGTGGGAAATAGGGCTTTATACCATGGATCCATCCAAGTAAAAACATGGTCATAATTATACATTGTCCTTTGCCAGTGACCTTTGTATTGTAGTCATTTCATGGATTTGAAGCCATATAGCATGTTGCAAATTACTAGACTAAGAGAGCAGGCTCATCTTGCCCTTAATAGCTCTGTGTCTTTGACAGTCAGGATTACTGTTGTTCATTCAAACTCTGCTGGCCTGAATACCTCTTTCTATTGTTGCATGCTTAGATATTCATTTTGTGATAACTTTTGTTTTGCCAAAACTCACTGGAATAGATATGTATAATTATTCTTTCTTCCTAGGACTGAAAGTCAGACTACAGATGCAGAAAACAAACCTAAAAAACTCTCATTGCCTCTCTTCGGTGCCATGAAAGGAGGAAGCAAATTTAAATTAAAAACTGGAACAGTAGGGGTAAGTTGTGAGTCAGGGTGTTAAACTTTTAGCCCTTGAGTTATCACTGAGTTAGTTTTTCTTTTTTTCTTTCTTTCTTTTTTAAAATGCAAATGAGTCATTCCCTCCTAATATGAGGAAAGGCTATGGGCTTGTTCTGATCACATCTTTTCCAGAACTTTGTTCTTGAATTTTTCTCTTCAGCTTAGGGTTATCAGGAATTGGTGAATTGATTCATGCCACTCAATTTGCAGGTAAATGATTTGTAAATTAGAATACCAGTTTGTTAATTTCTGATGAATGTTGCATTTAAGAATGGATCTTGGGCCAGGCACAGTGGCTCATGCCTGTAATCCCAGTGCTTTGGAAGACTGAGGTGGGAGATTGCTTTAGGCCAGGAGTTTGAGACCTGCCTGTGCAACATAGCAAGACCCCGTATCTACTAAAAGTAAAAAAAAAATTAGCCAGGCATGGTGGTGTGCACCTGTAGTCCCAGCTACTCAGGAGGCTAAGGCGAGAAGAACACTTGAGCCCAGGAGTGAGCCTACAGTGAGCTATGATTATGTCACTGCACTCCAGCCTGGGTAATGGTGAGGCCTGTCTCTTAAAAAAAGAGAAGAAAAGAGGGTTTCCTGTATTAAATGCTTTTTCCCTGGTGGATAGATGTAATATTCAGACTATATTGTTAATAACATAGTGTGTCAGCTGGGCGAGGTGGCTCACGCCTGTAATCCTAGCACTCTGGGAGGCTGAGGTAGGAGGATC